ATCTTCAGCTAAGGTCATCTGAAAGGAGGGAACCTCAATCAATAAAATGCCTCCATAAGATTGTACTGTAGTCTAAGGAACCTCAGACAGTGGAGCCAGGATGTATCCCTGGTGCACAAAAGGACTTTGTGAACACATCCCCCATGGTGGGATAACTGCCTTGATCTAGAGACAGGAGAGAAGCCCTAGTCCCTACTTCACATGACCTGTCAGATCTACATGACCCCAACTGGATGGCATTCCCCTATATATGGAATTGGGGTGGGGGGATGGGAGTGGAGGGTGGTTAGAGTGCATGTGAGAGGGCAGAGAGGGTAAAAGGAAGGGAAGGAGGGGGAACTGGGATTGACATGTAAAATAATAAATTAAATTAAAAAAAATGCTTTGACTCCAAAATTTAAGTTGAAAGACAAGTTACTGGGGAAAAGGATTTCTATTTTTGTTTCCACAGAAAATGAAAAGATGTGGATTCCTTCCAGACTAATGTGGTTTGATCAAGTCAGAATGCCTGAAACAGAGTAGGAGGTGATCCTACATTCAAAACAGCTGGACAAAGCAGCCTTACAGACTACAGCCAGGATTTCTGAATCTTCTTGGAATCCCCCATGACAGCGCCCCTTACCAGCAGGAAGTAGTTTGGAAAGAACAACGCCCAAATTCCCAAATATTGTCTATAAAATGTTTGTTTTCATTTAAATGGACTTTGTTATATAAAATAAATAAAAAAAACAGATTGTACTGTAGGCAAACCTGTAAGGAATTTTCTTAATTAGTGATTGATGGGGAAGGCCCAGCCCATTGTGGAGGGTTCCACCCCTGGGCTGGTAGTGCAGGGTTCCATAAGAAAGCTGGCTGAGCAATCCATGATGAGCAAGCCAGTAAGCATTATTTCTCCATGGATGCTGCATCAGCTCCTGCCTCCAGTTTTGGAGTTCTTATAATGATTCCCCTTGATGATGAATGGATATGTGGAAAAGTAGGTTAAGTAAACTAACCATTCCCCTTCAACTTGCTTTTGGTCATGGTGTGTTATCAGCTGATGTTGCTTTTTGTTTGTTTGTTTTGTTTTGTTTATATATCCAGTGCTCTTGTTGAAACATTTTACTCCTTGGAGTCTGTCAGTGTCATAGCCATTGTTTGGTTTATCTGAATCTTATGGGCCCAATTAGGAAAGATAAAATGTCTTTAAGAGATTTCTGCCACCTTATCAGCCTGTAGCTACCACTAATGATTATTTTCCTGACTATTAAGTTAATGATTTTAAATATATTTTTAGTCTTTTTAGCACAATTATGTGAGTTTGGTTATACCTATGGAATGCCTCAGTAGTTAATTGTTCCTTTATATTGTTTCTCTATAAGCAAGGAGAAAGCAATTTCTCCCAATATTTAGCAGAATCAGAAGTATGAGCAAATTACACAATTATAAATCTAAAGAAAAAAACAGGTGGAGAACTTAGATGGTGTTTGCTATTGAAAGCAGGCATGACACACTTTAAAGAGCTATCAGTCTTTATGGTTCCACACTGTTCTTTGTATAGCTGAAAACTTGCTTATGTAGAAATATTTTCTGAACCACTCATACAGACTATTTGAATATCTTTACTTTTGTTTCTTGGTTATTGAAATTTCAGAGAGAGCTGTATGTTTCAACAACTTTCCTACAGTAGACCCTACTTTCTGATGGCATGACAATATGCACCCTGGGAGAAAATTGCTCTTCCTGCTGTTTTCCATGTTGCAAACTCTGTGGCACTAATGTATAGTTATACGATGAATAGTTATTTGCTTTCTCATCTCAAATCTGACCTCTCACCATTTTCCCTGCCCTTGAGCCTGGCATCTTGCTGGTGCTGGCAGACAGCAAGAAGGCATGGGCTAAGAGCCAAGCTGATACTTACAAGGACACTCAGAGAGGCAGACTGACATGGGTTCAATAATTAGCACAATGCCAGACACAATGCTCAATAAGGATCTGCTGAATTAATGGATGTGTGTGTCGCCTGGATGTTGTAAATGCTTCAAGTTTATAACCTGGGCTAATTGGCTGAGCATTATAAATGAAAATGGAGGAGTGATCAGCTCTTCTTTCCTGCCCCAGTCAATAAACTTATTTAAAGACTTCTTTTAGAGATAGAAATGTCTAGTTCATTTTAATATCTATGCCAATAGCTTTAACAATGTTAAAAATACTCTGAAGCATTTTATCTATCATCTTGAATAACAAAGACACTTTGAAAAAAAAGCAGACAGTAAATTTTAAGGTAAGTTTTAGGATAACACATAATTCTATTATATAAAGTACTCACTGGCAAAGACTATTTATGATCCAATTCTACAACCTGGAGACTAAATGATACATCTCTATAACATTCTGAAAATCCAAACAGTTACTGCTTATTATTGAGTCTTGCAGACTGTCTCATATTTAATCACATCACAAATACAAAATAAATTCCAGTTAGCATATTTTTATTTGTTTTACAATTTGTTTCAAACATAGCTTTATTCCACAAAGCTAAAAAAAAAAAAAATGAAAAGAAATTGGCTAACCACATTCAACCATGTCCCTAAAGGCATGGATATGCTCATACTCATAAAAGTAAATATAAAGCTCAGATTTTAAAAATAGATATACACCTCTCACAGGCTTAGCATCACAGTGGGCAGCTTCAATTTTCTGGCATGATTCTGCATTTATTTCATGTTCAAATCTTTATCTCAATTGCTGCTTTTTTAGAATACAGCTACAAATCTATAACTTTATTCTTTGGGGAGAAAAATATTTTATATTTATAAACATTTATTCTTTAATAATTTTGTGTATGTGTACAGTGAAATATATTAATATCCATGATACCATTTCTCCCTCCAATTATCCACCAGGTTCATCATCCAATCAACATCACTTCTTTAAAAAACAAAAAACAAACATTAAGTCCAATTAATGCTACCCTTATGTAAATGGTTGTGCAGGCTGTCCACAGGAGCCTGGGTCAGTCTGTGTGTCTGTGCTGTATCTGTAAATAAGAACGGCTTCTCATCCTCCAGCTGTTGTCAACTGACAGTATCTCCTCCTTATGGAAGGACCTCATGAGCTCCTCCTGGGACAAAATACTTTAATAACTTTAAAGGCACACTCAGAACTCAAATTTGAAAAACTTGAAATACCATGTTATCCAATACCTTGATAGAAGATGATGATTTTATTTAAATGCTGAAGCATTGCACTTTCAGGAAAAAAAAAAAAGACCCAAACATACTCACAATTGTTCTCTAACCTGCCCATCTCTAGAAGCCATTATATTAAAAATAACATTCCTATTGTTTAAAATGTAAGAGAAGAGAAGAAAAACAAGTTATGTTGCACAGATGATACCCTCTGCTTCGGATACTGATTGGTCACCAGAAGCACAGTGAACATGCTGTAATGACCCTCTATAGGCAATGAAGTAGTCAAAAAGACATTCCAGTATGAACATAGCAACTGCTTACATAGCTGTTACTAGTAATGTATATATTTGGTCATTTTCAAACACTGAAAAAACAATACTATTTTCCATGACTAAACCAACAAATCAAATTCAACACTGAACTTGGAGACAGTTATTTCCCAGCTTGTGTGTTCTTTCACAAGTTAAATTTAAGTTTTAATACATTTCCATCCTTATATATTGAAATAAATCTATTCATTACTAAGGGTCTAGTCCCTGACTGTCTTACTTTTAACTTCCCTCTTCATGCCTGATCACACATCAAATGTTTGTGGCTCCCACAAAGCCAGGACATCTGGATAGTGTTAGGGATCACGAATCCATGGTAAGTTCATGCTAGTCTCATAGTTATAGACCACATTGATCCAGTGAGGGCTGAGTGGTCATCCTAAAAGCTGTTCTCCCCTTGTGCAGGACATTCCATCTGAGATGGTTGAGATTTTAAATTATGGAAGACCTCAACTGCATCTTTACAGACCCAGGAATATAATTTCTCATGAGATAGTTCATATCTTTCTAATGATGGGTGGTGGAGAGATGTTTAAGTACTCTCTTTGAGAGAGCATTCTTACATACACATTAAGGCTGAAGAGTTATCACTACAGAAATCTAACATCTCCTTTGTGCTATGAACTTCCTCAGCTTCCTCCCAAATCTGGGAACTTGGAGTTAACCTTAGTTCTCAACTTGCTCTTATATAGAACTGTATGCATCTACGTCAACAAACAACACATTTCACACGAAGTCTTTCTCCACTAATCCAGTGTTTTAAGTGGAAAAATGTGAACTGAAGATTAATGACAAAGGAAATTAATTCAAGAGGACCAATTGATCTTCACCTACAAATGTAAACAATGTTATATAATTGTCTGCAGCTGTCTTAATTATCCACCATCGTGATCACTTGTAAATGTAATATTAACAAGACTAGGGTTGGGGAGATGTGGTAAGTGGTTAGGAGTGTATTAACACATTTTCTTTTGGGTTGTGTTATTATAAATCCTGCTACTATGTGTGACTAGAACCATAACTGTCAAGAAATGGCTTTTTCCCAGAGTTTCCACAGAAAGGAAAAGATGTCATTTGCCATGCAGTGAGATCTCTCAGGGACAGCTCACCCCTGTGAGCCCATCTGCCCTTTCTGCCTCTGCCTTTTAATTAACATTTGGAAAAGAACAGTGCCATTGTAGATAACAGGGCTGGGAAAAGTGTCCCAGAAAATGATCCGAAGTCTGTCAGTCTTCAACCCTGCTGAAGATCAGGCAATAGTGGCACTCAGGAGGGAAAAGTGATTCATAGGCCACACATACTCAAAGTAATGTAACCTTCACAAATACAGACCACACACACACACACACATACACACACACACACACACACACACACACCACAGACTAAAGCAGTTCAAAAGAATATAAATGAACTAATAGTAGGAAAAATAGTTCTAATTGGTTAAATTGAAATAAATCCAGGAAAAGAGCTGTCAAAAAGATTTCCTGCTGCTTACCTTTTCTGCTGACTGAGCTGTACCAAAAAAGATGGGGATGAAAGCTAACCAAATGATGCAAGTGGTGTACATGGTAAATCCAATAGGTTTGGCTTCGTTGAACGTCTCTGGGACCCCTCTGGTTTTAATGGCATAAACAGTACACGTGACCATCAGGAGGATACTGTATCCCAGCGAACAAATGAGTGAGAGATCAGAAATGTCACACTTGAGCACTCCCCTGGCATTCTCCGGATCTAGTGTCCGCTGCTCTCCATAGTCAATGATTGTGTGGGGGGGATCCACAACAAACCACACAAACACTCCAAGGAGCTGAACGGAGATGAGGCTAAAGGTGATCACCAGCTGGGATGCTGGACTGATAAACTTAGGTGCTGTGACAGATTTCTTCCCCTGCTCGAAAATTCGGTGGATACGGTTTGTTTTGGTCAAAAGTGCTGCATAGCTGAAACACATACCAAGTCCCAGAAAAATCCGTCGGAAGGAGCATATGATTGTATCAGGTGCGGCAATCATCAAAAAGGTGATTGAGTAACAGAGGAAAATCCCCGTAAGCAGCACATAACTGAGTTCCCGCCCAGAAGCTCTCACGATAGGTGTGTCATTATAGCGGACAAAGGTCACAATCACAAAGGTGGTGGCAATGATTCCCAATATTGCTATGAACACGGGTACCACAGCCCAGGGAGAATGCCACTCCAACTTGATGATGGGGATCCTCTGACAGCCTGTGCGGTTGATGTTGGGTCTCTGATCCAAAGGGCAGAGTTCACAGGACAGTTCATCCACCTGGTAGTTATACCCCTCACAGCGTTCACAGTGCCAGCAGCAAGGGACCCCTTTCACGGTTTTCTTCCTCTCCCCCGGCTTACACGGCAGGCTGCAGACAGATGCTGGGTGTGTGTGTTCTCTATGAGCCCACTGCATGTCTTCCACCTGTGGGCATAAAAAATTAATGAGCCTTTCATTTTTTTCCTCGTTTATAATATCCTAATCCTAGCCACAGGTTTGTAATAAATCACTGAACTCTGACAGTACAAATACAGTTTACCATAATAAGAGTCTCATTTCTTTCCCTGATATTGACTTTATAAAACTGTTAAATGATTGGATCCAATCAATCACTTGGATCATCAACTAGGTGAGTGTCATTACTTTCTACTTACCCCTTCATGGCTGACCACTATGGTATCAAGGAAAGATTTATTGGCCCAAACAGCTTTAATACGAAAGCTTTAAAAATTAAATAAGAGGGAGAAAAACAAAACAAAGCAAAAACAAAAATCCCCACTGAAAGGTATTTTAGAGCTAATCACAGAGATAAAAGTCAAAATCTTTCAAACACTAGATTAAGACACAAGTATATAATTTATGTCTTTCTAAAATAGCTGGGGAAATTCAGAGGACAATGTGTTGGTTTTGAAAGGAAATGATGCAAGCAGTTAATCTCTGACTCTCATTTGCTCATAGATAGAGCAATACTCACATGTTAGGCATACACTGAAAAAAAAAAAGCATATGGAATAAAAGACCTAAAGATGATGCTTACTAATGAGTGCTTGCAGTCTTAAAGGTGTCTGAAAGCAATGCAATTATAAGCAATGAGGATACAGAAGAGGGAACACAAAAAGGTACCACACAGATGAGCCAAGTAGAAGGTAAATGTGAAAATACTGGGATTTGGAAGCCCCTTAGAGGTAAACACACATACAAAAAAGAAAGAGGAAATTTAATTTACCAAGGCCAACTTTATTAACAGTCTACGAGAAGAATTACTGCACCCTATGGCAGTCATCTTTCTAAGTAGTCCCCAATGCCCTCTCCTCCTTAAATGTGTGTACTCGTGTGGTTCATTCTCACCCCGAGAAGAGCAACCTATTTAACCAATGCTATGTTCAAGGCATGGTAGTCATGACTTGTGCAACTAAGTCATGAAGTCCATTTTGGCCTCAGTTTTATTTTCTCTTATGTCACTCATGCTCACTTAGCATCACCTGTCCTGAAAATTCTCAAGCAGGCTTGAGGTGAAAACCGGAGGTCTCCATGTTCAGAGCCACCTAGAAAGTAACTGCTTGGCTTAATCATACCCTCAGATGAATTCAGCACTTGCTTACATCTTGACTTGTGGGATTCACTGAACTTGAACAGCCCAGCAAAGCTCTTCTTGAATCCTCGAGCTAAGAAGGTATATAAGGTGTTTATTATTTCTATATTTTTGAGTTTCATACATGTGTAGAATACATCTTGAGCATATTTGCCTGCGTTACCCTCTCTTGCCTCTCTCCCAATGATCTTCTTCCTCTCCCCAACTGCTCCATCTTCTGCTTTCATATCTTTTGTTTGTTTGGAAAACTCATTTAATTATGGTCACTTAGTTATAAGCCTATACATTTTGGAGTTATTTTTATGCTGCAACAAAAAAACTAATGCGGTTCAAACTAAGTTTGCCCAGTCTGTGGTCATCATAACTCTAAGGTCAGCTAGATAATCCTAGAGAAGGTAATCCAGGTAACAGTAGGCATGTATCTTAAAGTCACCAAGTGTGCAATGTCAACCTTATTCCCCTATTGTTTTTAAGGTGGCCTCCTTTTGAGGACCAGTGGTTGGGCTATTCTTTCTTTTTTCTTTTTCTTTTTTTCCCTTCACGGTTACAGAAAAAAGGTTTTCTTTTCTTTTGTTATTTCTTTTTTAAATTAAATTTTATTTAAATTAAAAACAACCTTATTTTATATACCCAGTTCCTTCCCCCCTATCCTCCCATCCCCCCCCACCTCATCTACCCCTCATGGAGGGTGAAGCCTCCCATGGGGGATCATCAAAATCTGTCACATCATTTGGGGCAGGACCTAGGCCTTCCCCTGTATAACCCTCCATAGGAAATGAGTTCCCAAAGCCTAGGGACTATTCTTATGGAAAATGATAAGAATGCTTTCCTTCCTTGACTTTCCCTGGCCTGTTGAGGGCAGGAGTTGTGTTCTCTGGTCCCTAAGCTCTACATTTGTTAGGAAGATCTGAATCAGCCTAAGATGGAGAATTTAAATGTCTTTAATTAACCCTTGTTTGAGAAAGTTGATGAAACACAGAGAAGGACCAGAGCCATCCTGCTTGGCATCCCATGAAGTAAAGCTAACTTCTTCACAACTCCATTAATTTCCCATTAAGTTTTAATGACTACAAATGGATATTTATTTACTTGAAGGTTTCAGTGAGATAGAAAGAAATTTGAACTAAAAGCATGTAGTCAGATCTCAAAAATATTAAAAAACTATATTCTTTTTAGTGGCTGAAATATTGATTTTTAGAGCATAATGGATTCATAAAAAAGGACACTCAAACATTACATCTAAAAGTAATTATCATAATCCTAAATATCAATGTGTCTAAGGCTTCTAGACATTTTTATCATAGTCTAATTCAAAACAGAAATTAAAGTCAGGGGCTGGAGAGATGGCTTAAAGGCTAAGAATACTAGCTGCTTTTCCACAGGTCCTAAGTTCAATTCCCAACAATTACATGGTGGCTCACAGTAATCTGTTGCTTTATTCTGATGTGTAAGCATGCATGCCAGCTGAACACTATGCATAAAAAACAAATCTTTAAAATAATTAAAGTCAGAAAAATGTTTCAGAAATAATAAAGTTCACAAAGAGAGGGGAAAAATGTTGTCTATAACTTCACATTTGCTACTTTAACTCTCAACACAGATTCATTTGTTCCAAAGGCTTTAAAACATGTTTACAAAAATTGTGATTGAGCCCTGGCCCCTTCGCCACCAGGAGAGATGAGCACCAGGCCATCTCCTACCCCACCGTCATTGGAGGCCCTTGACCAGGGCACATCTTACTGTTCCACCCACTGAGTTGCCAGAGAACTGGGGGCAGCCCCCAAACCATCCAGCCTGCATCTACCCCTATCAGACAAAGCCTTGGCTCTGCCCCTACCACAAGAGAAATTCCAGAGACCTGGGGGCATCCTCCTCATACCTCAAACCATCCAGCACTACATCTCCTACCACTAAAGCCTGGGTAAATGGCCAGGAACTACAGATGCAAGCATAACCAACAGAATACAAGAGATGGAAGAGAGATTCTCAGGCACTGAAGATAAACTAGAGGAAATAGAGTTATCTACCAAAAAAAATCTTAAATCCAACAAATCCTTGAGACAAAATATCCAGGAAATATGGCACACCATGAAAAGACCAATCTTAAGAATAACAGGTATAGAAGGTAAAGAAGCCCAACTCAAAGGCACATAAAACATATTCAACAAAATCATAAAAGAAAACTCTCTCTTTTTTATTTATGTATTTTTATTTAAATTTAAAACAAGCGTGTTTTGCATAACAATCCCAGTCCCCACTCCTTCCTGTCATACTGTTCCCCCCACCAACCCCCATCCCATCCCCTTTCTGCTCCCCAGGGAGATTGAGGTCTTCCATGGAGAGTCTTCAAAGTCTGTCATATCATTTTGGAGCAGGGACCAGACCCTCCCCCATGTGTCTAGGCTGAGGGAATATCCTTCTATGTGGAATGGGCTCCCAAAGTCCAAAATAAAAAAAAATAAGAAAACTCTCTCAATCTAAAGAAGTGTATGCCTATGAAATTACAAGAAGCTTACAGAACAGCAAATAGACTAGATCAAAAATTTAAAAACTAGTCCCCTTGCCACATAATAGTCAAAACACCAAGCATACAGAACAAAGAAAGAATATTAAGAACTGCAAAGGAAAAAGGCCAAGTTGACATATAAAGGCAGACCTATCAGAATTACACCTAACTACACAATGGAAATTCTTAAAGGCAGAGGGTCCTGGATAAATGTTCTAAAAACACTAAAAGACTAAGGATGCCATCTGAAACTATTACACCCAGAAAAGCTTTGAATCATTATAGATGGAGAAAACAAGATATTCCGTGACAAAACTCTATAGAGCTATAGAGGAAACTAGCTTGGTATTGGCACAATAAAGAGACAGGTAAACTGATGAAATTGAATCCAAGAAACTGATATTAATCCACACACATATGAACAACTGATTTTTGACAAAGAAGCTAAAAATTGTACAGTGAAAAAAAGAAAGCATCTTCAACAAATGGTGTTGGCATAACTGGATGCTGACATGTAGAAGATTGCATATAGATCTATACCTATCAACATGAACAAAACTTAAATCCAAATGGATCAAAGACCTCAACATGAATCCAACCACACTAAACCTCTTAGAAGAGAAAGTGGGAGGTACCCTAGTACACTTTGGTACAGGAGATACCTTCCTGAACATAACTCCAGTGGCACAGACACTGAGATCAACAATAAATGGGACCTCCTGAAACTGAGAAACTTCTGTAAGGCAAAGGTCACAGTCAACAAGACAGGATGGGAGAAGATCTTCATCTACCCTACATCTGATAGAGGGAAGATCTTCACCAACCCCACATCTGACTGAGGGCTGATCTCCAAAATATACAAAGAACTCAAGAAGCTAGTCACCAAACAAAAATCTTGTCTTTAATCACAACTCAAAATAAAAATGAAAATTATTTTATTTTTGTAGCATTAAAATAAAAATGCTTAAAACAAAGCTTAGCTATAGCAGTATGAGATTTACTCATTAAAATTATACGTTAAAAATAAAACAAAATAAAATTTAATAAAGTAAAATAAAACCCATGATCATAGACAATAACCCCTACTATTACTAAATTAATAACACCTCAAATTTATCTACAGATTAAAAACAAGGCCTATCAAAACCTCAGGTGGATACTCTGTAGAAATTTACCAGTTGAACCAAATTTCATGTTAAGCGATCTAGTAAACGAAAGATAATTTTGAAAACAAAGTTTGAATTCACACTGATTTTTATGTGTTTTGCCTGCACATGCTCAATGTACACTGATGAATAAACAGAATGTTCAATGACCTGGCCTCTA